CTCACACACCGACTGAATGTCTTTTCATTGGCTCTTCACTAAACAAAGAACAGAAGGAAGTCAGATGTCAGTGTACGTAAGACCCACACCCTTGACGTGGAACAAATGGCACCCCCAGTAGCCCAAGACACAACAGCTGTACCCACCCACCCCGGATACCACCACACATCCATGAGCCACCTGAGAAAGAGTAAACATTTTCCAAACCCTTGCAAGAAGATCCATTTCTACAGTACATTGTTAGACCTTAGTACAAGAATTGACAAAAATACCATTTTACTTTGAAAGAGATAAACCAGTATTTATTTTGATAATAAAGGTTTGATTGCTTTTGATTAATTCAGCTTTTTCTGCTGCATAACTGGTTTCCATGGAAATGCAAGTAGATTAAAAATCTGCAACCAAAAGTGAGTCAGTTTTGCCTGTTTATGTCTCCTCAGTTCCCTTGGAAACAGACATTAAAAAAAAGGAGTAAAAAGGATGAGGGTCCTGAAATACCTTAGGAAAATCTCTTCTCAAAGCTTTATCTCTTTGGCTGCCTTGCCAGAATTGGAGTTGAAAATAACACATAGCAACAGATGACAGAACAGATAGTTGATTTTTTTAGGGAGACATCAACAGAACATACCTGGAGATGTTTCAGAAACCACATTCAAACTGACAATCTCAAATTGTATTAACGTGGGTTTTGGCAAAAGTACTTCACGCAGAGTACATATTTCCTTAAATTAGTTCAATGCTAATGTAGAAAGAAATACAATAGAGAACAAGAAAATAGCATCACACTGTCCTTGTCCCAAGTATACTTCAATACTTTGAGAGAGAGGGAAAAAGTAAAAGCTGACTTGGGGAATGAGTCCAATATTTCCATTGCCAGGATGCTTTTTAATGGATTCATTCCTTCCTTACAACACATTCATTTTGAAGTTGCAAAATCAGCTATACACACACCAGGTTAAGTAACTCCATCTCCCACCATACTTTTCAAAGACAACAGTGCACCCTCCTACAAGCTGTATCTTCACACTGGTACAGACAACATCTTCCTTCCTCCTCAGAGCTAAATGCATCAGGGAAGGAATAGGATGGGAAGTTACTTGGAAAGAGGCTGCTGTGCATGTCTCAGACCTTCAAAGCCTGCTCCTATCACTACCATTACCATGCAAGAATTCCCCAACAACCAAGTGGCCAGAAACACAAAGAACAGCAGTACAATTATTTGCTCCTCTAAGTTCCTTCTAGAATGTTCAAGACAGCTAAGCCTGATTACAAACTAGTTATTTCCTTGTTTGTCTCCCACATCACATTATCAGCTCTCTGTGCTCAGCACACCTCTGTGCAACTCAACACTTCATCAGGGAGCTGTGGAATCCATTGTCACTGCCTATCTGGGAAGAATGTGCAGGGTCAGTGCACATCTCTTACTACTACTGTCAGGGACTGAAGCTGCATTACAAACATCAGGAAAGAGAAAAAGGAAATCTGTCCTAAACCCTGCTCATGTACTCCCAACCATCACCAGAACTCAAGGGCTTTCCTGCATTCAGCATTACACCCCTTATTTTTGTACTTTGCTGCTCTCTGAGAACTAACAACATTCTGCCACCAACATGAAACAAGGCGTGGGGAAGAGTAGCCAGTCATGATACTCCCTAAAAGGATGAGAGGGGTAGCAATCGCTGGAGGTTTGTCTTGAACAGAAGAAGGAGTTGAACTTAATTCAATGTTAATTAGTTCACATTAGCTGAATTCAATCTATTCTTGTCACAGTAAAGATAAGCCTTTTAAAAAATTAATTATTTCCTATTCTCCTTTGTATTTTGGCAAAGTGCGGAGTCACACAAAAAGGAGAATAATCTTGCAGTACTCACTAAGGCATCATTCAAGGAGGACAGATTTAACATCAAGTGGAGAACATTTAATGTTAAGGGAACATAAGAGAAACATTGGTGTGTATCTTTCAGTCTATTTCGAAGTTTAGCCTCGTTTCTTGTAGAGGTCAGATGTACACATAAACAAAATAATTCAGCTATTCATTTACTTTAGCAGCTAAATACACAAACATCCAAGTGTCAGAGAGACTAGTTTACACAGTAAACCACTTTACAGCTACCATTCAAATTCATCCATGACAATGATAAACTGAGGCATCTTCTAAAACATTAAGTGAACAAACCACACAAGCAGCAAATAAGCAGATCAAGTGTTTTCCACTATACTCTACAAAAATTGTTTATTTCCATGATTAAATGCAGTTGTCAAGTTTACTAAAGCCAGTCTCTGAAGAGACTGCAAAGGTGTCAGGGTGCTGGGATCAGCTTAGTTTCATACCTCCTCTAGCACAACGAACAGAACAAAAACAAATGTCACTGCTGAAGCTAGGGAGTCACTATTAAACAGATGAAAGGCACTGGTCATGAGAAAAATGAAAGTAATTTAATAAGAAGATAATTCACACAGAATCAATAATCTTTGATTACTAAGGACCCCAAAATTAACACATCGGACTTGGTTTTGCCTTTGGGGACATCAGCATTATCATATCCATCTTAAGGAAATTTACAAGGTCACACACGGCATTGTAATTCAGGAAATAAAATCACAACAGTTCCGCACCACATATCTGGGGCACTTAACTAAGCAAGGCTCCCCTTCAGCAAACACCAAGTATAATTGCCCCATTATACATTGTATCATATTACACATTCTCAAGAAGGCCTAATCAGTTAAATAAGTAATTCAAATCTGTCATTTGTTAACTTCCAAATGCTGATTTATAGAACATTATTTATTTCACATTAACTCTTCATATGAAGTTTTCCAAACTGGGGTTTTAGATTTCTACTTTATATTTGCATAAGCTCCTCTTGAGTTAAATTGCATGATAAATAAAATGGGTTTTGAAGCATAAAAAAGTCTGAAGACCAAATGAAACATGAAAAAATGTTTCAAAAGTAACATCTGCCCCTATACATTAGGCTGCTGCTTATGCTAATATTTCAAAGAACTTCATTCAATATTTAAGACAAAATCCACAAAAGTGTCTAGAAGGAACAACAGTACAGCCTAAATTAATTGTGACAACTGATAAAGAACAATAAGTTAAATCCTCAAGCTAGCATCATCTCTCTGTACATGTTGAAGAAGCTTAATACAAGCACTACAACTTCCAAGAATAAATGAGTGACACATTTTACACAAAAGATCAGAAAAAGGGAGACACCAAACCAAAGGTCTGTTATGTTACCTCAACAGTGCTCCTGTCAGAACAGGATACCCAAAAGCAGCCAATGCACTCACCAGAAATCACTCTAAGTAGGCTGCAACTTAGAGTCATCTTTCCAGGTAAAAGTGTTCCATTTATAGAAAGCCACAGCGTCTGCACACAGATTTGCAACACTGTGCTGCAAACCAAAGTTACCACAAAACTTCCCAGGGACTGACATGGTGTAAAATAACAAATAGCACACAAAACTAAAGGCACAAAATCCAAAGAAGATTGCAGAAAATTAGAACCCTCCCCAGCACCTTGGTGTATAACACAAACACATAGCTGCTTCTTCATTTGTAACAAAGATCACATGCAAGTTGTGGCATGAAAGTTTTTTTTTTTTTTTGCAAGCCTTGGGAAGTCCAACATGATTTCCTGGTGGCGTGAAGGAAGTAAAGGATGGTAGGTGGTACAATTTCATAACAGATGATCATGTAATAGCAGACATGGAAAAATTGCTCTTTTAACCACAACTGTACTTATGTTCATACAGGAAGGATTTTCTACATCTTGTCAATAAAAGTGTTACTTTGCAGAAACACATAATAAAGACTTTTAACTCCCTCTCTGATGCACAAACCTGAAGAAAAAATTCCTGCTCAGAAAAACACTGTGCATCTCCTTTTACAAATTTAGTCTTACAATACTTGTTCTAGTCCAAGGCACTTTAACAGTCCCCCTGTCAAAGTCAGTGCATCAGCACAAGTGTCATACCCAAGTCATCATCTGTCATCATGCAAAACTTCTTAAGAGCACACAACAACAGATTTGGAGCACAGAGGTAGAAAAAATGTGAAATTTAAGAAGCATTGCAGCAGAAACCTCTATCAGCATGCACAAAAACACAATGCAGCAAAGAAGAAATTTGACCAGCAGCTTCTTGTCAGTTCTGGATCAGTATTTCTCAGCTGCTGATCCAGGGATCAACAGTCAGCTCGGAGATATCTGAAACAGCCTGTGGAACAGCTGCAAGGAAGGCTGGCTTGTGTTTTGGGCAGGAGGGGAGAGGAGGGAATTGTTTTCTTGCTTTTATGTTTTCAATAAATAGTTCTTGTATGCAGGCAAAATCAACACAAACAAAAATAAGAGCAGCAACTGAGCAATCAAACTTCAGCCTAATTTCATTGCAACTGTAACCTTCTATGGCCGTACTGCACAGTACAATCCTCAGATTGTATTCAATGAGGTCAGATGTCTCTTTGGACTTAAAAAGGTTGAAAGACATCCTGTAGATGACAGATAGTTGGCAGATAATAACATGGAAGACAAATGGAAGATGAGGATTTCTTAAGGACAAAGTAAGATGATGAGATAACCAGCACATATCATTACAAAAAGAAATCAAAATTCACCAAAGGAAAAAAACCCCAAACATTTCTTAGATATGTTAAAAGGCACAAAGGATTCAGAAAATAAAAGCCTCAACATACAAACTCTTTATTTTGACAATTAGGAATAATAAACTAACAGAATATTAAAAAACTGAGATTTCTAATACTAGATTTATAAAGCATGAACCTGCTCTTATACCCAGTAATAAAAGCAAAGCCATAAAGAGCATTAGGTAGTCACAAATTCGACCCCTTAAGCACACTAAAAGCTCTAGCATTTGAGTGGGCTTAATCACATCCCTCTAATACTACTAAATCAGAACCACCTCACCACTACTGCAACTATTTAACAGACGTTTCAGGGAGCCCAGAAACAGTTGCACCATTCCCCTACTTACTTGAATCCTCCCATCTGAGAAGGTGCAACTTCCAAGCAGAATAGTACAGAAATCCCAGTACCAGAAAGAGGCAGAGGGCTAGCAGCAGGTTACGCATAAACACCAAGAGTCCCATCTTCACATTAAATCTGCTCTTCTACATGACCTGAGAAAGAAAAACAGGTTGAGGCTGGAGCCACCTTCTCCAACGGGCATCCCCTCCAAAACGCGCAATCCCACACCCACCGTAAGGCACAGATCGCAGACCGTGCTCCTGCACAAGGTAAAACACAGAGCACGGCAGCGGAACAAGAGCCTCCCAGACAGCCTGGGGGGGTCCCCGCCACGCCGTGACAGAGCATCAGCCCCGCTCCGCCCGAGCCCAGCGCGCCCTGCCCGCCGAGGCCTGGCGAGCACCGCGTCCTCCCGGCACGCCACAGACGAGCCCACAGCGCCGGGCGTCCCGCGGGCGCGGCCGGAGCCGCGGCGTCCCGGCCACTCCGCGCTGCGGGGACGCGCTGCCCTACGGGCGCTACCGGCGCCTGGGGAGAGGGGCTTGCCGGGCCCGAGCGGGACGGCAGCTGACAGCTGCCAGCGGCCGGCTGGAGCCCGGGTTTGAACGGGCAGCGGCTTCGCCACCGCCGGGCTGCCCCTGCCTCGCCGTGCTCCGCTACGGGCTACGCCGCGCCGCGCCCCGCCGGACCCCGCTCGGCGCGCCAGCCGCTGTGAGCGGCGCTGC